TGTGCCTTTTACCCCCTGGGTTGTTTTGTAACACAATAAACAAAATTAAGCTTCATAATATATTTCATCTGAGTAACTCATTATATACCTATAAAACAGGTCAAAAAATACTTTTAAAAACATTGCAAGATCAATATTTATCAATTTTTCTTTCCATATGCCTGTGTGATATTTTTTCAATTGAGTGCTTCTTAATTAATTGACTTAAAAAATGTTGTTTTTTTTAAATGAAAATGCATGAAGACTATCGTGTCATTAAGGACAAATCACAAACTATTTTCATGGAAGAAATTTAACTCACTCATGTACAAAAATTCTAAAGACTACTTAAAGATGACCTTTTCCTTAATTTCTGTTAGTTTTTTTATACAAACTATCTTTATTTTACAACAATTATAAAACAAGTTATTTCAGCTTATACTAACCACTCTTGTTGGCCCTGATGTTAGCATGCTAGGGGTCTTCATGTGGTAGGAAACCAGAGTGATCAGGGAATCGAACCCTGGCTGCCTTTGTGAAAGGCAAGTGCACTATCCACTGCGCCACCCGACCACCCGAAATATCTGTTAGCTATCACTTTGTCCTTTGCGTTTGACAAACAACAGTTACATGGATTACAGTCAAATAGTGCGAAAGACTTGAATAAGGACTTGTTCCATATGAATTCTATCGGTAATTTGTAGTAATCATAGCAGGTTCTAGGAGAGAATAGACCTGTTGTATCCCACTGCATGTGCTAAGAAGCAATTAACTAATGTGAGTTGTCAATTGACTGTAGACAGTTAGTTTACCAGGTAACTCTAGACAGTTGGGTTGCCAGGTAATTCTAGACAGTTGGGTTACCAGGTAACTCTAGACAGTTGGGTTACCAGGTAACTCTAGACAGGTAGGTTACCAGGTAACTGTAGACAGTTGGTTTACCAGGTAACTCTAGATAGTTGGGTTACCAGGTAACTCTAGATAGTTGGGTTACCAGGTAACTCTAGACAGGTGGGTTACCAGGTAACTCCAGACAGTTGGTTTACCAGGTAACTCTAGATATTTGGGGTTTCCAGGTAACTCTAGTCTAGACAGGGGGGTTACCAGGTAACTGTAGACAGTTTGCATTTTGGTTTCCAGGTAACTCTAGACGGTTGGTTTACCAGTTAACTCTAGACAGGTGGTTTACCAGGTAACTCTTAGACAGTTGGGTTTCAGTAACTCTAGACAGTTGGGTTACCAGGTAACTCTAGACAGTTGGGTTACCAGGTAACTCTAGACAGTTGGGTTACCAGGTAACTCTAGACAGGTGGGTTACCAGGTAACTGTAGACAGTTGGTTTACCAGGTAACTCTAGATAGTTGGGTTACCAGGTAACTCTAGATAGTTGGGTTACCAGGTAACTCTAGACAGGTGGGTTACCAGGTAACTCTAGACAGTTGGTTTACCAGGTAACTCTAGATATTTGGGGTTTCCAGGTAACTCTAGTCTAGACAGGGGGGTTACCAGGTAACTGTAGACAGTTTGCATTTTGGTTTCCAGGTAACTCTAGACGGTTGGTTTACCAGTTAACTCTAGACAGGTGGTTTACCAGGTAATTCTAGACAGGTGGATTACCAGGTAACTCTAGACAGGTGGGTTACCAGGTAACTCTAGACAGGTGGGTTACCCGGTAACTCTAGACAGGTGGGCTACCAGGTAACTCTAGACAGGTTCTAGTTCTAGTTTTACCATATATTGACCACCTTAACTAATTGAAGATTTTGTCACAAAGTTGGGTTATGCAGCACAAATGACAGACTATATATATTACATTATAATTAATAATTATTCACTTGGTTAAAGTTAAGAGGAGGGAAATTTAGTTTGAGGAGAGTCAGTGAGAGAGGTCCGAGCAAGCCAGTGATTGGAATTCAACAAACACAATGTCATGATCCGAAATGCCAGGCATAACTTCAATACGGGGGACTAAGCTAGGATGGTTGGTGATGATAACGTCCAAGATGTTATTGTTTCGTGTGGGCTTTTCTACCAGTTGGGTTAGTCCTGCATCATCAAGGGAGGCGCCGAAATTATAATGAATATTTGGGTGGAGAGTATTGGGTTTTAGAATTTTATGCTCCCAATCCCAACCTGGGAGATTGAAATATCCTCCAATGAGTAGACTGGCATTGCAAATAGTACACACTTGCCTTCCTAATAGATGTGTCAAAGCTCATCAAATTTGAACTGTCTGCTGTTTTAGGATTATAAAAAGAACATAAATACAGGGTTTTACAATCTATCATTTCTATTTTAGCCCATACAATTTCTCACTCATCTGGTGGTAAAAGGTCTTGTACTTCAGAAGAAACAAAATCTTTCTTTATTGCTATAAGCACCCCACCACCTGTTTTTTCACCAACTCTGTCCTTTCTGTGTTATGTTGAACCCATCTGGACTTTAATATTTGGTTTGAACCATGTTTCAGTTCCAAGGATGATATCGGGCTTGACACTGTCAATAACATGATGAATAAGATGTTGCTTTGCTCGAATTGATTGGAAGTTTACATTCAAAATACGTAGTGGCTTACGAGAAGATTTTTTAGAAAATGTTGTTTTCCTGGCTGGAGTAGATGAGTGCCCTGGATTAAATACATAAGAAGAGGTCTTTGGACTCATCTTGCTATCAAAACTCTTTACAGAATTTAGAAATAAACTTTCAAAAGGATTTAAAGTACAGATGCTGTGCAGATCAAATAAAAGAGTAGAATAATTTGGGTTATCACAGATAATACAGTGCCAGCTAACCATACTATCGTTCAATTCCTCTTATGATGTGCTGTACATGTTTTGACAGTCCACATGAAACTACTGGTCACATGTTTTACAGACAATACCCTTAGGTTCCCAGGTAACAGTAACAGGTACCACAAACATAGTTAGTGCTATCGTTGCTTGGTCCTGGGTTGGATTCAATGTCATTATATAGCTCTTAAAATGACTAAGACCAGCATATATAATAACACCTTTTTGGGCTTGATATCTTGGTGTTTGATAAAGAACTGTTTCTTAACGAACAAGATCAACATATGTTGTATTGCAATGGGGGACACATCAACATCGGTTGTTAAATTTGACTGACATATATATGAATGATCCAGTTAGATATTAACACACAAATCGGGGACATTGGTAGCTTAAGTATCACCAGGGAAGGGCTGTGGGCTTTGGCTGTTTGTACGTGCGAGCTTGATACAATATGGTATTCTTTGTCCATAGCAGATACTACCACTGGGTTTGATTTGAATTTCGTCACATGAAGTGGTTTTGGTCCAAATTGAGTACATATAACGATGATCGTGAAAAATAGGTTTCGCAGAATCGCCATGTTTAATTATGGGTGTTCACTTACCGATGTGAAAGTGAGGGGTGGGACCAATGAACACAATACAGGACGACAAAAATTGTTACTTACAGATGGAGATTATATCTTCGTCTCTAGTGCGACTCCATAGCATAGAATGAAACGCACAATCGTTAGTTGATGATATATGATGGGTTGGTTGTACATCATGTTATCATAGATAGCCATGTTTTCTGACAGATTAGCACCAATCTGAGCATTGCCTGATGACACAAGTCCCTGAAGGATACACAGATATTGATGAGCTTGGACTTACAGCACTGTAGGGTTAACAATGATCATCCAGATGAAATAACTCGTTAGCGGAATATACCTGTATGGAATTATCTACTGATGATGGATGATGTTACAAGCACTCACAAGGACTGTGATGATTGTATTTGTTTGTTTTAATATTTTCTGCTTGTGGATTACTGATAAATCTTAAAAGGAAGTGGACTTGAAACCAGAATGAAGTACCGATACACAGAACAAGATGACGTAAGGGATCTATGGGGCGGCATTTAATTATTAGGTGCATCTCATAAGCACCGACAACATATGGGGGAAGAGGGGTGAGGGGGGAGTATTAATTGTATATGTGTGTGTTATTAATGAGACCCTGATGGATAGTAAATCGCATTTGTTCGAGGTAATTTGAAACTATCAGCATGCAGCATGCATTCATTGTTGATGAACTATGTGATAAACAGTCTGCCGAAAAAGAAAAACATTAACAGATGAGTTGAACGTCCTCAGGGGGTTGGCTTATAGCCGATATGCAAACAGACTATTTGTCTGTGATGTAGATCAGGTGCCGTAGTCTGACATTGCAGTCTTATAATGATATTGCACTGGCAGAAATAAATGTCAACGGTTTTAAGTCAGAGAGTCGCGATCCCAGCACTCTGGGTGGTTTCGCAAAACAAAAAAAGTTATAATTTGTTAAGCATTTTTCTGCCATGGAGAATATTGCCCGCCAATCACTATAGCAAGAATCATATCACGAAGACGCATATTTATTTCTACTTCCTGTTGCACAAAAAAGTGTCTACCTTAAACATTTTCCATCTTGGTATGACCCTGGCAATTGCAAGGACTGAGGCCCATATAAAACAAAATAGATTTGTTTACTATTGGCTACTTATAGTTACACTTTTCTGTAAAAACAAAACAATTGACATGCTTACTTTTCATGGTTTCTTTCAGCTACTGTGAAAATTTGAAATTCGAAACTTTGCTAACTTAAGCTTATTAGCATACCATGCCAGCTGACCGCAAAACAATTGTACAATTCACGCAATGGTTTATAAATGTCAAAAAGATGTGAGAGAAAGTACAAATACAATCAAATTTTTGATATTATTGTATATCAGCTTTATACTAGCATTGCAATTGAAGTATGATTTCATTGAATTGTTTTTCTGATAGGTTCGCTGGCTCTACTGAGAAAGAGGGGAATTCTAGTGTATGATTTACCCTGTTTTACATTACTGATAGGTTTGCTGGCTCTACTGAGAATGAGGGGAATTCTAGTGTATGATTTACCCTGTTTTACATTACTGATAGGTTCGCTGGCTCTACTGAGGAAGAGGGGAATTCTAGTGTATGATTTACCCTGTTTTACATTACAGAATAGAGGGTGTAGAAGAGAATGAATCAAGTACAGAGGCAGACCCAGTGATCGGTCAACAGCAGCTGACCAGTGGACAACACCAGAGTGAGTCCGGCCACTACAGCCAGCAAGTGACCAATCCTCAAGTCCCAAAGCCAAACACTAAGGGACATCCACAGAGCCATCCAAACATGGAGGTATGTGATTATTACTGAATGCTAAGATAAGGTCAGTGAATGATATGGAGCTAGATATTAATGATACTTTGAACACTCAGATATGGTCAAGGTTAGTGTTGACCTCTCAGACTTCTTGACCTTTCAGATATGAAGGTAGGTACTGGTGAATTTGACTACTCAGATATGCCTATGGTCAAGGTTAGTGTTGACCTCTCAGACTTCTTGACCTTTCAGATATGAAGGTAGGTACTGGTGAATTTGACCACTCAGATATGCCTATGGTCAAGGTTAGTGTTGACCTCTCAGACTTCTTGACCTTTCATATATGAAGGAAGGGAACAACTACAGTTTCGTCAATATAAAGTAGGAAGGTGCTAGAGGAAGGGAACAGCTACAGTTTCGTCAATATAAAGTAGGAAGGTGCTAGAGGAAGGGAACAGCTACAGTTTCGTCAATATAAAGTAGGAAGGTGCTAGAGGAAGGGAACAATTACAGTTTCGTCAATATAAAGTAGGAAGGTGCTAGAGGAAGGGAACAGCTACAGTTTCGTCAATATGAAGTAGGAAGGTGCTATAGGAAGGGAACAACTACAGTTTCGTCAATATAAAGTAGGAAGGTGCTAGAGGAAGGGAACAGCTACAGTTTCGTCAATATAAAGTAGGAAGGTGCTAGAGGAAGGGAACAGCCACAGTTTCGTCAATATAAAGTGGGAAGGTGCTAGAGGAAGGGAACAATTACAGTTTCGTCAATATAAAGTAGGAAGGTGCTAGAGGAAGGGAACAGCCACAGTTTCATCAATATAAAGTAGGTGACTGGAGACAGGAGATCGAAAAAACATCAATCATATCCATTAGTTTACACACCAATTGAAAAGTCACCATTCATTACGATTCTTGAGATATGTATGTATGGACTGACAGATGGACACTACGGAACACGATATATCATACAGCTAGTTATAGTTCATGTCTTGATGTTAATGGTTTCATGAATTATGGGCAAAATGTCTAGACTATAATGAATTACGTATGACACAATTTTCAAGCAGATAATAACGTTTTAATACACTGTCAAGAAACCAACCATCAGAAATTCCTAAACATGGTCTCTTAACAAATGTGGTCTGTTGATAAAGATTTAGGTCGCAAAGAAATCACTAGAACGGGGGAACATCTAAAGTGGGTTTTTATCACAGGTTTGTCTTTCAGCAAAGGTTCATGTCATAAAGATATTGTTACAGTGGGGAACATTAAAAGTGGTCTCTTCACACAGGTGGTGCCTTAACCTAGGTGGGCTCTTAATAAAGGTTCAATTCACACACAAAGAAACACTAGAATAGGGAACATGAAATATGGTCTCTTAACACAGGTGGTCTCCTAACACAGGTGGTCTCTTAACAATAGTTTAGTTAATAAAGATAATCACTAGAATGGGGAACATTTAAAGTGGTCTCTTAACACAGGAAGTCTCTAAATAAAGGTTCAATTCACAAATAAATTACTAAAATGGGGAACATCTAATTGGGTTTCTTAACACAGGTGGTTTTGTAAGGGTTCAATTAATGAAGAAATCACTAAATTTAAAAATGGTCTCTTAACACAGATGGTCTCTTTGAAAGAGCTGGTCACATGAACAGGTTTGACTGCATATCTATCTTAACCAAACTCTGTTAACTAATTTTAGTAAACTCCTATTTTGATCTATGTGAAAAAGAACTCTTTGATATAGCCATGCATGTGTCAGATGTGAGTCTTCCTATTCTGTGATATAGCCATGCATGTGTTAGATGTGAGTCTTCCTATTCTGTGATATAGCCATGCATGTGTTAGATGTGAGTCTTCCTATTCTGTGATATAGCCATGCATGTGTTAGATGTGAGTCTTCCTATTCTGTGATATAGCCATGCATGTGTCAGATGAGAGTCTTGCTATTCTTTGATATAGCCATGCATGTGATAGATGTGTCAGTCTTGCTATTCTTTGATATAGCCATGCATGTGTAAGATGTGAGTCTTGCTATTCTTTGATATAGCCATGGATGTGTTAGATGTCTCAGTCTTGCTATTCTGTGATATAGCCATGCATGTGTCAGATGTGCGTCTCGCTATTCTTTGATATAGCCATGCATGTGTCAGATGGGAGTCTTGCTATTCTTTGATATAGCCATGGATGTGTTAGATGTCTCAGTCTTGCTATTCTGTGATATAGCCATGCATGTGTGAGATGTGAGCCTTGCTATTCTTTGATATAGCCATGCATGTGTTGGATGTGTCAGTCTTGCTATTCTTTGATATAGCCATGCATGTGATAGATGTGTCAGTCTTGCTATTCTTTGATATAGCCATGCATGTGTCAGATGTGAGTCCTGCTATTCTTTGATATAGCCATGCATGTGTCAGATGTGAGTCCTGCTATTCTTTGATATAGCCATGCATGTGTCAGATGTGAGTCTTCCTATTCTATGATATAGCCATGCATGTGTCAGATGTGAGTCTGGCTATTCTGTGATATAGCCATGCATGTGTCAGATGAGAGTCTTGCTATTCTTTGATATAGCCATGCATGTGTCAGATGTGAGTCTTGCTATTCTTTGATATAGCCATGCATGTGTTAGATGTGTCAGTCTTGCTATTCTTTGATATAGCCATGCATGTGTTAGATGTGAGTCTTGCTATTCTTTGATATAGCCATGCATGTGTCAGATGTGAGTCTTGCTATTCTGTGATATAGCCATGCATGTGTTAGATGTGAGTCTTGCTATTCTTTGATATAGCCATGCATGTGATAGATGTGTCAGTCTTGCTATTCTTTGATATAGCCATGCATGTGTTAGATGTGAGTCTTCCTATTCTGTGATATAGCCATGCATGTGTTAGATGTGAGTCTTCCTATTCTTTGATATAGCCATGAATGTGGCAGATGTGAGTCTTGCTATTTTTTAAAGATATATGTTTGGACTCATTTTGACAGGTATCTGCAGGACAGTTTGAGAATGTAGCCAAGATGAGTCGTCTTGCTCTCTCGTCTGGAGGAAGTGCAAGTGAAAAAGCCGCACCCCCTGTGAAGGTGCGGCCTGTATACTATACTCCAGGGTCCGAGTCTCCGGCCTTCAGACACGTGCACAGTGAGTCAGATTCCAGGTCCGACGCCAGTACCCCACGACCCCCACGACCACGTGGGGACAGGCCAATGTCAGGCAGGGATGGGCAAAGAGTGTTCTACAGGGTAAATATGAGCTAAATTCTTCTTATTTAGTACAGTACTTTTCACTTAATATCATGTCGTTTAATATCACTTTTCGGATATCTTGTTTTTCTTGATGCACCGTTTTTCCTGCTTTATAATCAATGTAATTCAGTTCTTTTATCATCACTTGTTTTGATGTCAATGTGTTATTTTGGGCCACTGTCACACAAAAATCATAGGTAAATGATGATAAGAATCAATGGTTTATGCCCCAGGGATCTGGTGTCACACTTGGATGCTTTATGTAAACAATGTCATGACCTAGTCAGAAAAACATGTTTTCTCTTTATGTCACGTTCCAGTTAATATCATGATTTCCTCTGACAAACAGGAAGTGATATGAAGCAAAATCTCCTGTACAACTACGTATCATAGTTTCTTATTTAGAACAACCTGTTATTCATCTTAAGAGCACTCATCAACTCTAGAAAATCCATTCAACCCTAGTTCAACCATTTACTCTAATAAAATCATTCATCTTTTGTTAATGATTTACTACAACCATTCAACCATCCATTTTAATGCATCACCTCCAATAATATGACACACATCTGTGTAGTCATGTTCAAATAACAATCAGTGCATCTTAATTAGATAATTTGTGTTCCTCCGAGGAAATGGTCGGTGAAATTAAAATGTTACGGAATCGGCGATACTGGAATTGTTTGTTATAACACAATGCAGCCGTTTGTGATGTAAACCATTTCATCTGAAAACCATAAATTTCTTGATTGAATTGCCAGTGTAGCTTTAGTTTACCCTCGAGGTCTATGTAACAAGGATATTACATGCCTCGTGACCACATCGTGTCTCACTCTCGTCAAGCCTCGCAATGCAATAGAAACTTTAGAATATGGTTGACGCTGTTTCCTGTTGACTGATAAAAACAGCACACTGTATAGTGGGTTATTTTAGTGGAGCTTTAGTTTGAACAATTGGCAGGTCCATATCTATCCAATATTGGTTCTTGACCAACTGGAATCAATGCATAGACAACAAACTGAACTCTGTAAAGCCTAAAATCGGTGAAGTGAATCCCAGCTACATATTCCGCCTTTGCATATTGCAGAGTTATCTTCTCTTGAGAGCAGGTATTAATTGTTACGTTATTTGTTTGTGAGAGTAACGTCATCAATTTTTGAGAAAACGACGTAATTTTCTCGCACAAACCAATGACGTAACAATCAATACCTGCTCTCAAGAGAAGATAACTCTGCAATACGCAAAGACGGAATAGAAAACCACCGACAAAAGGCTGTCCATGCCCGTCTACGGATTGGTCATTCATACATAACCTATTCTTATTTATTGAAAAGCAAAGACCAGCCACAATTCATAGCATGTAATGAACCATTTACAATAAAACACTTGTTATTAGATTCATTTACCTTAAGCCAACAAGAGAACATTTTTATAATAATATAACAGATCTAAAATTGTTATTTGAGACCTCAATAAAATATTATCTGAATTTTTAATTATAATAGCATAACAGATCTCAAATCTCTAACCCTAGAGAATATAAGAATATAAGATATATATTTCTTTCATATATATATAATATTAAACACTTTGATATGGTAAATGGGCAAGCAACACAGAAAACGGCCAACTCTTCTACCTCAGATGCAACACAGAGTGCTAGGACCATTCACCTTAAGTGGAAATCATTTTTTATAGTAAAAAATATTTGATATTAAAAAAAATAGTGTTAGTAGTGTCAAGGGTTCATTCAACCCCAAGTCAGAAATAGGGCAATCAGATTGGAACTCTTCTTTGTTGGAGATAAGAAACCGGGCAGTGTGACTCTCTACCTTAAGTAAAAATATCAGTTTATACTGATTTTCTTTTTAAATAGTGTCCATAGTTTGTTCAACTCCTTGTCAGAAAAAGGCCAAGCTAAATTGGAACTCTCCTTTGTTGGAGATTCGACACAAAGCACTTAGACTATTAAACTTAAGAAGAAATATCTTTTTTTATACTTTATACTGGTTGATATTTTAAACAAACTGTCAGTTGTGTCCAGGGTTCATTGAAATATCAAGTTTAATCAGCTTGTAATCTTCCTAATTGTTTGAGCTGCACAATTTGATTTCTTCAATTAAAAAATTATCACCTTCGGAAAAATACATTAGCTTGCCACACAAAGGGATTTGACAGGGTTTTGATTCTAATTTACTTGTCCCTATATAGAGTTCCTCAAGGACTGTTACGGAGCTGTAAATGTAACAGATTCTTAATGTAGGAAAAAGATTGATGAGAAACAAACTAAAACACTAGTGGAAAATATTGATATTGTCATCACTCAGACCAAATTATTCATTTGGGGACTGACAATCCCTTTAGAAAATGATGTATGGTTTCTTTGGTATCTTGGGAACATTACCAGAGTTACATTTTAACATTAAGTGTCTCGGCATCATAGATTGATATTAATGGCAAAGATGCATGATAAATTTAAAAACCAATATGTCTTCACAAATTTTACATTTGGGGTCTTCCAGGAAAACTTTATTGTTTGAACCTTTGACTTTCTCCAGCTGTACTTAAATCTATCAAGTTTAATGTGTCTTTGTAATACATTGTGTCGTAAATATATAGCTGTGTTGTCCTGCTCAAACCACAAACATGCAGTTTGTAACTCTACGACTATACCCAGTGGTATCGCCATTGCCTCCTCATTCTTCACACGGACCGCGGGACCCATAAATAGCTTTAATTCACACAGGCTTTTATCGTTACGATTTTAGTACAAATAAAACAATCATGCAACATCGTGCGGCAGACACACATACTTAGCTGTTGTTACTAGACCTTATTTTAACATTGGTTTTATGGTGAGCGGAGGTGATTCAGAAAGAGATTTAGTGTAGTTCTGTGGTAAAATATTTGAACATTATATTTCTATAGTTCAGGCATTTTTTTTTCCAATTTACTGCCAGCCCAGGACAGTCAATCAATTTTACGGCACCGCTATTCGATAACAAATTAAACATTCATGAAAACATCATAACAAACGCTACTGCAGTGCTCTCAATAAAATTACATTGTCTTTGTAGTAATTGAGAACTATGCACAAGGTCTATAAAAACTTGGAAATGAATCACTTTTGATTTCTTTTATTTGTTTTAAAGTCACTTTACATATAACTGAATACCCTAGTGCTTTCACCCCTAACAATTTCTTTGGGATATTTAATTGAAATTGAGTACTGCATGCATTTTGTGTTCTCTTTAGATCAATTACTTCACAACATGAATTTTTAACTCACCTGCCCTAAGGGCTAGTGAGCTTATGCCATGGTGCCGCGTCTGTTCGTCCAGCGCCCGTAAACTTTTCCTTTAAACGACTTCTTCTGAAGAATAGACAGGCTTACAGTCATGATATTTGAGTGATAGCTTCCTTGTTAAAAGCCCAACAATTTGTGAGAACAAAAATGACCTTGACCTGCATTCAAGGTCACAGGGGTAAAAAGTATCAAATACTTAACACGACTTATTTTGAAGAACTGAAAGGTGTAGAATCTTAATATGTTGCTGGTAGCTTCTTGGGAAAGAGCCCAACAAAGTTTGCGAATGAAAATGACCTCAACCTAATTTCAAGGTGACAGGGGCCAAATATGTCAAACACTCCAAATGACTTTCTCCTGAATAATCTAAAGGCATAGAATTATAATATTTGGCTGGTAACTGTCACAGATGTAGCCCGACAAAGTTTGCTATTGAAAATTACCTCAAGCTACTTTCAAGGTCACAGGGGTCAAATATAGCAAAACCTGCAAACAGCTTCTTTTGAAGAAGTGAAAAGCATGGAGTCGTGATATTTAACTTCCTTAGATGGAGCCCAACAAAGTTTACAAATGAAAATGACCTTTACCTACTTTATCCTATAGGTATATCTTAATCTAATTTGATATAGAGTATCCTTGGTCCAACATGATTCAGTGTACCACCCCAATGGGGACAGGAGAATGGGACCCAATAGATAAGGGTGTTACTGAGAGACAGCCAATATTTGGAAATATTTGCAGTACAGTTTAATATTTATTAAATATTTTGCTATGGTTGCTTAAATATCCAGGTGAGCGATACAGGCCCTCTGGGCTGCTTGTTTTTAACCTTTTGGATTCTTTATTTTCAAGGTCATTATAAGTAAAGTAGGTTTTCTCTAAACTTCTAACATAGGTTACACATATAATTTAACAGCAATATTTTGAAATAGCATATTTTGTTGTATTTAATGATATCATCTTTTTCCTATATTCCCATTGGTTGGATCATAGTTACGTGGAGGTTGATAATTATTGTGATATTAACTTGGTGTTACTATTTTCAGAAAAATCAGGTCAATATTCACTTACTACGTCACTTCAATTTTAACGGCACCATGTTCTCTGCCAAATACAGTGCTTTAAAGATGGTATGGTCACATTAGCACCAATTTTGTAATAGGAGTAGGAGAATGCATGGCCAGACCGGGATTTGATGGAGGCTCTTCCAATTGAGCTGCCTGGTCGTCGGCACTCGACCCAGTCCTGGCAGTTCCGCTACAGAACATTCTGATATTTGTCCCAAAGCTTCCGCTACTAAAATTATAAAGGTCTATGAATCAATTCAATCCCTGTGGCATAGATGTTATTTTTTGAATTAAAAAAAAACCCACTTTATTATGTAAACTATTGTTCTTAATTTGGTAAAAGGGCAAGCAATTTCTTTTTAAAATATTGAACAAATTAAAATGGAACGTTTCTTTTTTGGAGATACAACAATGAGTACTACTGGGACTTTTTACCTTAATCAAACAGTCGTCATTTTCTTTTAAAGCAATTGTATAAGATTCCTCTAAATGCTGATCATGTATCTAAGCTGTCATCACAAAAGGGCATTAATCTAGACTATATCCCTTTTAATTTGGTATGTTTACAATTACTAAAATTATTCATTGAATATCTTCAACAACTTTTTTTACATTCCTTGTTGTCAGTTCCCTACGCGTGTTGAGCCATTTCAAGAACACCAATTCACATTTTCATCTGTTTATGACCAAGAAGATGTGCCTTTAATATAATATAAACTTTATCTATTTTACAACAATTTGGAAAAAAGTTTTTTCAACTTATATTTATGACTCTTTGGTCCGGATATTAGCACACAGGGAATCTTAATGCAGGAGGTCACAGGAAAAAGTCCAGGTGGGTTGGGCAGGGGACCTGTGTATGATACCTTTTCACGTCCGATCAGGGAATCGAACCCCTGCCGCCTTAATGAAAGGCCAGTGTGTTATCCACTGTGCCACCTGACCATCCAATGTGCTTAATATTAAAAAAGTAATCTTACCAACATTAAGAACAAAGAACTATTTTCATAGAGATGATTTGGTGCTTTGAATAAAATTAAAGTGTGAAAATTGGTTTATATTTCGTTCTTAATCTCAAATATTTAGAAATCACCAATTTTTGAACTTTGATCACTCTAGAATCCATCATGTTCTTTTATTAAGATTAAAATTTTCCAATAGAATGTGTAGTTAATTTCTTCCATCAATTGATTTAATGTTCTCAGCCTTTAAAAGGCATTGTTTAAATTATCTCTTTCATTTAAAATTGGCGATAAAACTATTAGCACAATCAATCCAACATTTTTTGCCATTGCTCTGAACCTGCTAAAACGGATGTGTACTAAGTACAGTCTTCCACAGATTTATGAACAAAACACTATATTCCTCCAAAATTGGACATAAATCTCTTGTCTTACAGCCCAGCACATATAGAGTTCATTTGTGATGTATACTTAGGGTAAAATTCAACTTGAAAGAGTTGTTTCATGAATGGATCATGATGTGTAGTTTTAATTATTTGTTATGTATAATTAAAAGTGATAATTAAGTATGATGTGTTATTAAAAGTTTAAATTAAACATGATGTGTAAATAAAAGTTTAAAATAATCAGAATGTGTGATTAAAAGTTAATATTGATCCTGATGTGTGATTAAAAGTTTAAATTAATCATGATGTGTGATTAGAAGTTAAAATTGATCATGATGTGTAATTAAAAGTTAAATTAAATATAATGTGTAATCAAAAGTTTTAAAAAATGGTAATGTGTAAATTCAAATGAGGAAAAAATAGTGTTATAACCTTTCATCCATTCAAAACTTACGGAAATAAAAAAAAAATGAATTGAATTGAATATAAAAAAAAATAAAAAAAATAAAAAATCATCCATCAATTAAATCCCTGAAATGGTTTACAGAGATCAGCTCACTTATCTACAATATCAGAGTAACAACAGCTAGGGCGTGAGTCTGGTATGAAGAAATATTCTACACATTTTTGTTGCTTTGGCTCTGAATCGTTATAAAAGCTGACTTTGTTATACATGAAGTTGAATTTTATCAATATCTTTTTTCTTCGTCTGCTACTGATCTTTCAGTGTCGTTACATGACCGTTGTGATTTTTGCCTTCGTCTGCTGTAGAATGTTTTGCTGAACTTTCAACCACTGATAAGTGGGAAGTAAAACCTGACAATGTCAGACAATGGGCTGTCAATGAGCTGCTGGTGAATTCCTGTAATCATTCATGACCATTTCCCGTAGCCAATTCCTTTCCTATGTAATGAATAGGGAAGTATAACTGGTGTGTCTATTTCAGGCCCCTTTCACTGGCGAGCCAGGCAAAATGGAGGAATATTCAATAGAAGATAGAGCAGGTCTAGAAAAGTGGAGAAACAAACAACGCCAGAGGGAATTCAAACAGAGGCTCTCCAAGGAGGAGGTAAACATATGTTTCTGACAAAAAGCAGAAAGACAAGGCATATGGCTCTGAAAGGAATCCCATCCTCCTTTGTTAACTTCTCAGATAGAATGTAAAGTATACAAATGTCTTATTACAATAAAGGAAAGTATGATGTCCATCAACTTCAGGACATCTAATAAATTGAAGGTTTGATGTAAGTCAAGTGTTATAATTACCCTATTAATTAAAACCATCCTTCACTTTGATTGGTTAAAATCCTGCACTTCTGAACATGGCTGTTTGAAGATAGCGACCTTTGACCTTATGCTTTTCCATTACAAACTTTCCGTTATGATGAAATAAATATGTACCTAAATGGTAACTAAATTTCACCATCAATTAGCATTTTAACATCTCAAATTATATTAATAGAACGAAATATCAAAATAATTATTGTATAATAATAAAACATTTTTTTGTTTGGAGGGAGGGGGATCCATCAATCAAGCTTGTATTTTTTTGCATATTGATTAGAAAACTTGTCACTGAAAACAAATGATTATGTAACCTAAATTAAAATTTGTAATAGAATTGGCAAAAACAATTGTGGGAGAGAAAAGAACCACAACTCCTGATTGTTTCCTTTCTTTTAACCCTTGTTAGTTCATTTTCAAATTTAAAAAAGAAAAACTTACTAAAGCCTGCTTTTAGTTTTTCAATTTAAAAAAGAAAAACTCAGTAAAGCCTGCTTTTAATTTTCAAATCTAAAAAAGAAAAAGTCACTAAAGCCCGCTTTCAGTTTAATATTTGAAAAATAATCTACACCAGTTAGATTAACAGCAGTCACAGATTGTGGAACCTGTATATCTGTAAAGACAGTGGTATACAAACCCACGTTTATCTTATGATTGATGCGAATTTCTGCGTTTCAGCTGGAGGACGAGAGGAAGGAAAACCGTCGACGCCGAATTCTGACTCGTCGACAGCGTGATCAGCTCCACCGCGGACACAACGATGACCTCTATGAAGCTTATTCTGATGTAGATGCAAGGTTGGTGCTCTTTAGAAGATGGATCTCAGTGTTAACTTCTGATCCCAGTACAGTATTTATCCTGCAATAAGTCCAGAGTGTCAAAACATAACTCAATGTGGGGGAGGGGCATGCATAGTCTCTAACTCAATGTGGGGGGGGGGGGGGTAGGGGCATGCTTCTTAAAGGATAATGATGCAGATTTTGTTTGCATTTCTGATTAAGAAGAATAGATACAGGTGGGCTTTTTACTCTGTAGTATTTGTCTGTAACTTATAACATAGTGAAACCTGTTCAATCTGAGCCGTGAATATTCCAATCTCCTGCACTTTGCCATATCCACCATTATACCTAAATCCCATTTCTTATGAAAACTACCATATATAACCTGTGTATTCTAACACACTGTCAAATCTGAAAAATCACTTGTGACCTTCTGGTTTCCAACAAACAGTAAAGCCCAGAATCATGATGATGTGTCCTATACCCTGCTTGGGAAAGGAAGATCAAGTTGTTGAAACATATTTTAACCTTGATCAACATTAAGGTCACAGATGTCAAATGTGTAAAATAATTTCAAATCCTTTCTACTTACAAATCAATTCAGGCATTGAGTCATATTTTGCCTATAGCTATAATAAGTGACCTTGACACACTTTCAAGGTTGAAGAGGTTAAATATGTCGAAGTCTTCAAATAAATTCTTCAAACAAGCAATGAGGCATGGCATGATATTTTGCCTGTTATTGCTGGAGGGAAGGGCTATAAACGTTGCTCAAACATATTACCTTGAGTCACATTCAAGGACACTGGTGTAAAATTGTTGAAACGGAAAATAATTTCTTCTAGTGACCAAGAGGCATAGAATCATGGTTGCCTGTCTCCTGCTGCATCAATGGCAAACAATTTTCTTATCAACCAATGACCTTGACAAACATTCAAGGAGCCAACCAAGCATTCACAATTTTCAAATCACTTCTTCCAAAGAACCATAGAGCTAATATATAATAGAGGAATGCTATTTTGGGCTTTGATAATTGAAAGAAAACTAAGAAATTACACAGTGGTAGAAGATTAAAAGTCTTTTTTAGTCTATTTTGTTAAATATTTATTAAGTAATTTCACTGTTTTCTTTGATAGATATGGAAATCGGAACTATGCCTCGTCTCGGAGCGGTTACTCAACACCCGGAGGCAGTTGTGTAAGTACTGAAAAGTAAACTTTCACACTTGTTATACAAATCTCATGAATGCTTACTTACAGTAGATTTGGCTCCATTTTCACCACCAGAAATGTCTCTATTGATCTGGGTCCTGAGAATGTTTTAAGTCAGATTAGCTTGTTGATCTTTCTAGCGCTGCTTTGTTTCATCATGTACACCTGTGTATCAGTAAAGACTAATATCTGTGTTTCATCATGTACACCTGTGTATCAGTAAAGACTAATATCAGTGTTTCATCATGTACACCTGTGTATCAGTAAAGACTAATATCTGTGTTTCATCATGTACACCTGTGTATCAGTAAAGACTAATATCTGTGTTTCATCATGTACACCTGTGTATCAGTAAAGACTAATATCTGTGTTTCATCATGTACACCTGTGTATCAGTAAAGACTAATATCTGTGTTTCATCATGTACACCTGTGTATCAGTAAAGACTAATATCTGTGTTTCATCATGTACACCTGTGTATCAGTAAAGACTAATATCTGTGTTTCATCATGTACACCTGTGTATCAGTAAAGACTAATATCTGTGTTTCATCATGTACACCTGTGTATCAGTAAAGACTAATATCTGTGTTTCATCATGTACACCTGTGTATCAGTAAAGACTAATATCTGTGTTTCATCATGTACACCTGTGTATCAGTAAAGACTAATATCTGTGTTTCATCATGTACACCTGTGTATCAGTAAAGACTAATATCTGTGTTTCATCATGTACACCTGTGTATCAGTAAAGACTAATATCTGTGTTTCATCATGTACACCTGTGTATCAGTAAAGACTAATATCTGTGTTTCATCATGTACACCTGTGTATCAGTAAAGACTAATATCTGTGTTTCATCATGTACACCTGTGTATCAGTAAAGACTAATATCTGTGTTTCATCATGTACACCTGTGTATCAGTAAAGACTAATATCTGTGTTTCATCATGTACACCTGTGTATCAGTAAAGACTAATATCTGTGTTTCATCATGTACACCTGTGTATCAGTAAAGACTAATATCTGTGTTTCATCATGTACACCTGTGTATCAGTAAAGACTAATATCTGTGTTTCATCATGTACACCTGTGTATCAGTAAAGACTAATATCTGTGTTTCATCATGTACACCTGTGTATCAGTAAAGACTAATATCTGTGTTTCATCATGTACACCTGTGTATCAGTAAAGACTAATATCTGTGTTTCATCATGTACACCTGTGTATCAGTAAAGACTAATATCTGTGTTTCATCATGTACACCTGTGTATCAGTAAAGACTAATATCTGTGTTTCATCATGTACACCTGTGTATCAGTAAAGACTAATATCTGTGTTTCATCATGTACACCTGTGTATCAGTAAAGACTAATATCTGTGTTTCATCATGTACACCTGTGTATCAGTAAAGACTAATATCTGTGTTTCATCATGTACACCTGTGTATCAGTAAAGACTAATATCTGTGTTTCATCATGTACACCTGTGTATCAGTAAAGACTAATATCTGTGTTTCATCATGTACACCTGTGTATCAGTAAAGACTAATATCTGTGTTTCATCATGTACACCTGTGTATCAGTAAAGACTAATATCTGTGTTTCATCATGTACACCTGTGTATCAGTAAAGACTAATATCTGTGTTTCATCATGTACACCTGTGTATCAGTAAAGACTAATATCTGTGTTTCATCATGTACACCTGTGTATCAGTAAAGACTAATATCTGTGTTTCATCATGTACACCTGTGTATCAGTAAAGACTAATATCTGTGTTTCATCATGTACACCTGTGTATCAGTAAAGACTAATATCTGTGTTTCATCATGTACACCTGTGTATCAGTAAAGACTAATATCTGTGTTTCATCATGTACACCTGTGTATCAGTAAAGACTAATATCTGTGTTTCATCATGTACACCTGTGTATCAGTAAAGACTAATATCTGTGTTTCATCATGTACACCTGTGTATCAGTAAAGACTAATATCTGTGTTTCATCATGTACACCTGTGTATCAGTAAAGACTAATATCTGTGTTTCATCATGTACACCTGTGTATCAGTAAAGACTAAAATCTGTGTTTCATCATGTTAACACCTGTGTATCAGTAAAGACTAATGTCTGTTTTTCATCATGTACACCTGTGTATCAGTAAAGACTTAGATATCTGTGTTTCATCATGTACACCTGTGTATCAGTAAAGACTAATATCAGTGTTTCATCATGTACACCTGTGTATCAGTAAAGGCTAATATCTGTGTTTCATCATGTACACCTGCGTACCAGTAAAGACTAAAATCTGTGTTTCATCATGTTAACACCTGTGTATCAGTAAAGACTAATGTCTGTGTTTCATCATGTACACCTGTGTATCATTAAAGACTAAAATCTGTGTTTCATCATGTACACCTGCGTATCAGTAAAGACTAAAATCTGTGTTTCATCATGTACACCTGTGTATCATTAAAGACTAATATCTGTGTTTCATCATGTACTCCTGTGTATCAGTAAAGACTTAAATATCTGTGTTACATCATGTACACCTGTGTACCAGTAAAGACTAAAATCTGTATTTCATCATGTACACCTGTGTATCAATAAAGACTAATATCTGTGTTTCATCATGTACATGTACACCTGTGTATCAGTAAAGACTAAAATCTGTGTTTCATCATGTTAACACCTGGGTATCAGTAAAGACTAATATCTGTGTTTCATAATGTACACCTGTGTACCAGTAAAGACTAAAATCTGTGTCTCATCATGTACACCTGTGTATCAATAAAGACTAATATCTGTGTTTCATCATGTACTCCTGTGTACCAGTAAAGACTAAAATCTGTGTCTCATCATGTACACCTGTGTATCAGTAAAGACTTAGATATCTGTGTTTCATCATGTACACCTGTGTACCGGTAAAGACTAAAATCTGTGTTTCATCATGTACACCTGCGTATCAGTAAAGACTAAAATCTGTGTTTCATCATGTTAACACCTGGGTATCAGTAAAGACTAATATCTGTGTTTCATAATGTACACCTGTGTATCAGTAAAGACTAAAATCCGTGTTTCATCATGTACACCTGTGTATCAATAAAGACTAATATCTGTGTTTCATCATGTACTCCTGTGTACCAGTAAAGACTAAAATCTGTGTCTCATCATGTACACCTGTGTATCAATAAAGACTAATATCTGTGTTTCATCATGTACGCCTGTGTATCAGTAAAGACTAAAATCTGTGTTTCATCATGTTAACACCTGGGTATCAGTAAAGACTAATATCTGTGTTTCATCATGAACACCTGTGTATCAGTAAAGACTAATATCTGTGTCTCATCATGTACACCTGTGTATCAATAAAGACTAATATCTGTGTTTCATCATGTACCCCTGTGTATCAGTAAAGACTAATATCAGTGTTTCATTATGTACACCTGTGTATCAGTAAAGACTAATATCGGTGTTTCATCATGTACACCTGTGTATCAGTAAAGAATAAAATCTGTGTTTCATCATGTTAACACCTGGGTATCAGTAAAGACTAATATCTGTGTTTCATCATGTACCCCTGTGTATCAGTAAAGACTAATATCAGTGTTTCATTATGTACACCTGTGTATCAGTAAAGACTAATATCTCTGTTTCATCATGTACACCTGTGTATCAGTAAAGGCTAATATCTGTGTTTCATCATGTACACCTGCGTATCAGTAAAGACTAAAATCTGTGTTTCATCATGTACACCTGTGTATCATTAAAGACTAATATCTGTGTTTCATCATGTACGCCTGTGTATCAGTAAAGACTAATATCTGTGTTTCTTCATGTACACCTGTGTATCAGTAAAGACTAATGTCTGTTTTTCATCATGTTCACCTGTGTATCAGTAAAGACTTAGATATCTGTGTTTCATCATGTACACCTGTGTACCGGTAAAGACTAAAATCTGTGTTTCATCATGTACACCTGCGTATCAGTAAAGACTAAAATCTGTGTTTCATCATCTACACCTGTGTATCAGTAAAGACTAATATCTGCGTTTCATCATGTACACCTGTGTATCAGTAAAGGCTAATATCTGTGTTTCATCATGTACACCTGTTTATCAGTAAATACTAATATCTGTGTTTCATCATGTACACCTGTGGATCAGTAAAGACTAATATCTGTGTTTCATCATGTACTCCTGTGTATCAGTAAAGACTAAAATCTGTGTTTCATCATCTACACCTGTGTATCAGTAAAGACTAATATCTCTGTTTCATCATGTACACCTGTGTATCAGTAAAGGCTAATATCTGTGTTTCATCATGTACACCTGCGTATCAGTAAAGACTAAAATCTGTGTTTCATCATGTACACCTGCGTATCAGTAAAGACTAAAATCTGTGTTTCATCATGTACACCTGTGTATCATTAAAGACTAATATCTGTGTTTCATCATGTACCCCTGTGTATCAGTAAAGACTAAAATCTGTGTTTCATCATGTACACCTGTACATGTGTATCAGTAAAGACTTATATCTGTGTTTCAGGAAACATGCTTGATGCAATTCCAATTTTAATTTTTTATATGATGAATCAATACTATGTTTTATATCAAATTTTACAATGTATTTCCGCATATTGCAATGGCTTTAAATTTGTCAAGAATAGGGACAGACTCTCAAAACAGGAAGAAAGTACATCTAAATGAGTGGCTGTGACCTTTGCCTGGCTAATAAATTCACCAATTAATTTTACTGTTTATATATGTCTTTATACCTTGTTTTTCAATACGTTATCTTGATCTCATTTCACAATCAGTCTACAAACTTTTCATACACTTCCAAGAAGCCTTGCATGCCTAACAATATTTGACAATATTTGCTTGAATCTCCCATTCCTATACAGAGAAACCAGCGATAGTTCTTAAAGTTAAGATTCACTGACATCAGTTTTATATTAAGCATCCTCATACCACAGACAAAAACTGTA